TCATTTTTGTCGATCATCATTTCAAAGATTTTATTACAAGCGTCCAGAGAACCGTGCGTGATTACGATATCCCAATTATTTTGCATTGGTGTATGCCATGTTTTCTGGAATTCCTTCCATTTTTCCAATAGCGGCTTATAACTTGAGAAAAATACACATCCACAGATACGCGCGTTAGAAATGTGACCAATAAATTGAAAAATATTCTATATATATATATATATTTATCGATAAAGTAATAAAAACTTGTTCTTTCGTATGTTATATATATATTATGACAATTAATATATATAAAATTTATAATCATAATATATACAGAGTGGACCCAAACGTTCCGGCCAGACTTTGAGATTTTATAGGAAGTTTAATTGTGAACAAAAAGTTTTTTATAAACATGGATCGAAAAATGCTTCTTTAAAAAGTTAGCGCCCAAAAACCTCTAAAATCATGGTTATTTTATACATTTTTGCGAATATCAAGGAAAATATGCGTTTTTTAACAAAAAGTACTGAAACAAAAGTTGTAGAGAATTAAATTATTTTTCAAATAAGATCAAAATGATTGTAGCACGTTCCATAAGTTTTGAGATAATCATTTTCAAATGTACAAAAAAAGGTTTTTTTCGGCCATCAGTGGTAGAGCTTTTTAAAAATACTCTTCATTTATGCTGTTATAGCTAGTTTAGCTAGTTTTTAATGTTTATCTTGCTTGTTATACCACTACAAAAATTTTACTTTTCTGCATTGTGTAAACCAATCACCATAGGAGGCTGAAAGGAAGAACAGAAAGTGAAAAGAAAATGAAATAAAAAGAAAATGAAACTTAATAAATTTCTTGGAAAAAATCAATAAAAATAAAAAATAAAAATCTTTTTCTTTCATAAAAATAAAATAATTCTTTTTTTTAAATTAAAATAGCACTGTAATAGTAGAAAATGATTAAAAATGAAAAAAGCGCTAACTTTTTAAGGAAGCATTTTTCGACCCATGTTTATAGGAACTTTTTGTTCAAAATTAAATCTCCTATAAAATCTCAAAGTCTGGCCGGAACGTGTGGCCCCACCATGTATATGTATATAAAAAAAAATATTACAGAACAAAATATTGAATTAGAATGTTTGAATTAATAATAAAAAAATTAATTTCTAATTTAATTTTTAATAAAAATCAGTTTTTTATTTTTTATATAAAAAATAACTCGAAAATAACTCTATATACTTATTAATATTATATTTCTGTTATGCATTAATTTATTAATATTACTTACCCTTGTGTACTTCCATATTGCAACGCTACAGTCAATTCAGGCTTGCTAAATTTTATTAAATTGTCGTGCTTGTATGTCAGGGAAATATCTTCGACAGGATATGTAGCGACGTTTGGCAAACCACCAGCAAAAGTTATACAATTTGACTTCGATAGGTAGAGATCGTCTAATTAGAAATTTAAAACGTGATACATTAGATTAATAGTCAAGAATATCCATTTTATTAATTCTGTTTCGAAAAGAATAAATTGATATAAGCAGATAAAAAATATATTCTTGCGTTTATAATTTTCGTTTATTACATATTTTTTCATTCAAAATTTCGTACGTTTTAGGATTAAAATTTGTATATTTTTGTCTTTGTAAAAATTTTTAAATGTTTGGGTCATGATAGGAAGCATATATCATTTCTATTATTATATTTCTATAGATTTTATTATTATGAAAAGTATATATTTTCAAAAATTCTAAATATACGATTAAAAAGTGCATTAAATACTACAAAAGAATTTTTAAGGACATTTTACTACATGACTCAACGATATATATATTTGCTTAAAATTAAATATATCAAGTTTCGATTTTTTGATTCCCAATGTACAAGGAAGCAATAGTATAAAAAATATGTAAGTAAAAAATATATGGTGTTATATAAAATTATAAAACATCGGAGGTGAACACTTTTATACGTTTCCGTATAAGACTTTGAATGGGTAAATAGAAACATAGAAAATGAATGCAATATATATAACAACTTACTCAATTGCCTAATTAAGTTGGACTTCCGTTTAGTAGCGATTTTAGAAAAGAATTTAGTATGATCCATGATGAGAGTTATATCGCGCGCGGTAACTGTCACAATGGTTATTCTCTCGCCGAAATCTGCCGCGGTTATGAATACTATCGCACTGACTTGGTTCAATGTGTATATTATTTAAAAAGGTTATCATACAGCTTCCATGATAAGACCAATTATACATACAGCCTAAGAGGCCTCATGACTTTATCTCTATTTTATAATCAATAATATGTGCTAAGCGCAACAAATGGAGAAATCACATCATTTAATGCTAGATTTTGTTATAAAGTTCAAAACAAAATTCTTGGATTTTGAGCAAGCTAATTATTCCGCCGTCAAGGCATTGTATCATGACTTTATCTCTATTTTATAATCAATAATATGTGCTAAGCGCAACAAATGGAGAAATCACATCATTTAATGCTAGATTTTGTTATAAAGTTCAAAACAAAATTCTTGGATTTTGAGCAATTATTCCGCCGTCAAGGCATTGTATCAAAAGATTATATGCGCCGCAAAGTAGACGTTAATAGAATTTTATATTTAATATTGCTTAATTTCCTCTCATTTGCTAGAAAATTAATCATAATCCATAAAAGAGTAATTAAAAATTTACAAAATATTAAAATATAAATTTGAAGAATTTATTCTGAAATAAACTCTTTTGCTATTAAAATGTGTTCGAAAGAAAATCTCGAGTTTTCGTTTCTTGTGGTGACACGATCTCGATATCTGTGACATATCGTATCTCTTGTGATATATTATCTTATCTCGATCTATCTCAACAAGTTCTTTTTTGCAATATCATTGGATAAAACATTTAGATATAATATTGTCTAGTCATTACATATAAGACGTGATCATCAACATTTTGAAATATAAAAACTAAAATAGTAATGCGGTATTAGTAATTATAAATAAATATTAAATACATTTGATTATTTTATACTTTAAAAACTGATCAAGTTCTAGTAAAAATTTTGCTTTTTATTCGTCGCGCCATTAAACAGTATCGATGAGATGGTACTAAAGGGACAATAGAAATTTTGAAATATACTCGTAACATTTATTCTCCAATTTATTAACATCTTGTACGTGTGTGTGTATGTATGTGTGTGTGTGTATATACCTGTTTGTGTGGATGTAATCACGTGTATTTGTAAGCGTGTATGTCACTATTTCCATCGCCTTTGCTGTTTTTTTTTTTTTTTCTTTAACACTTCGGATAACATTTTAACTTATTATATTACCCTGCCCGATAAACGCTCTATTCGATATCGATCGATCGATCACGCGCTGATCGGCAGTCGGATGGATTTTTGATCGATCTCGGGTAAAAAAAGAGCCATCGACGTCGAACAGAACGTTCGGCATTTCGGGTTTTGTTCCGGCGACCGACAAAACGGGGCTCGTGTTAACGCATTTTATTTGTCGAACATAAATTCAACATCGTGTTTATTCTATCTGTTTTTCTAATTGATTTTTGCAACTGGCTTGATCGAGTGACGTTCGATCCAATAATAATATCGGATAACATCCCAACGAAAAAATAAAAGAAGTCAAAGTTCTCCAACGAACTACTAACATATTTGCAGTAGAAAGTTTGACAGGAACTGAGTTAAAAATATCTCTCACAATAGATAAAAATAAAAAAAAAAAAATTTGATTTAAATAAATTATGTCGACATTTGAATAGAATTTCATTAGCCATATATAATTCTCCAATTTCTAGTTTTAGTTGTAAAACATCGGTAATTTTCACGGGATGCGCATCATAATTTTTTATGATACCTGGCAATAAAATATATATACATACATACATTCTTCTATAAATTCTACAAGTTACCGTGTGTTGTGTGGCAGTTAACACATTACGCGTCGATTGCTTTATCAACGCACTTCTCTTGCGTTAAGTTTTCTTTTAGTTAGCTCTCTCTCTATCACTTTTCTATTAATATACATATACACACATATATACATATGTATATGTTTCTATTACATCCTTAAAAAATACTTTTTTGGGAAAATATATCTCGTAAATATCTTACAGTTGTATCTCTTATCGGAATAATTGTTAAATGTTTTTGAGTGAAAGTGAGAGAGTTATATTTTTAATTTTAGAATATTTGGTTGTTAAGAGATTAATATATATATTTTATATTTATTGAGATAATCGTGTATGTTAGACACAATACGTTTAAACATTCTTTTTATAAAAATAGGCCCCCTATATCATAGTACATAGATGCAAACACATAAATGCAAGCACGCATAAAGATGCAAGCACAGTAATATTGCAATTTAATTCTCTCGAAATAGAAAAATTAAATCTTATTATTATATATAATAAATTATTCTTAATCTTTTTTTGGTATTATTACTTTGACAGTAGTTTTAAATTAAAAAATTGTACATAGTATTTTCCAAATTGTAATATAACATTTAAAACGTTATTACATTTTTTGTTTTAATCTTTTTCGATCTATTGTGTAATAAAACAATAATTGAATTAAATATATCTGTCATATAATTAAATATTTAATATTATGATATTTTGTCATATAATTAAAAAAAACTTCGTGCTTTTAAAAATTATGAAAAATTATTATAAATATTATTTAAAATTAAATATATCTCGAGATCGAAACATAATATAGCGAAATATAATACACATTTATGTCTATTTTCGACGTCGTCACTCGTGCCAAATTGTACCAAATACACTATCAGCCCGTCGTGTTGGTCGACGGAATATATCTCTGTACCGTTTTTGAGGCCGTTGCTGTACGCTGGTTTTCGTTATCATTTGTCTCGCGTTTTCTCGCACCCCCGCCAAGCCCACGTCACGTCTTCTCGCAATTAATACGGTTCGCAATGGAACTATTTACAAAACGGAACACTTAACGACTGCGCCTGCGTTTAGTTTATCGCGAGCTAAATTTCCGAGTCGTCGGTTTTTGTTCCTTCTCTTTGTTCTACGATAACGCAATTAATGGGCTTATGTATCACGCGCATCCTCTCATTACTAGCCGACACGTTCGCACGGATTCTCACATCACCGAATTTCAGAATTGCGGTTTCTGAGGGACCCTTCTTGAGAGTTTTAGATTAGTGATCTAACTGAAATTTCGCTTCTCGAAAACGGAGTGCACGTCTCGAAGCCGCACGTTTGCATTTCGCTAATCGTAAAGCTAACAATATTCAAAAGCGACGAATGTCGCTACGTTTCCACGTTTTCTCATAATTAATATAATATAATTTTCTCGGATCTAATAAGCAAATTTAATAGAATTGATAGATCGAATATAATCTTTAACATTATTATTACAATTACGTTTTTCAGATTCACACAATTAGTGATTTCGTGTTTAACTTAAAGAAAAATTTAAGTGATATTTTTGTATTCTTCGTGTTTTTCGAAACATTCCACAATACAATATTATGTAGCATATAATGTCATGTAAGAAATATTAAATTATTTTGCTTAATAATATATTTAAATTTTTTTCATTCCTCCTTTTCATCATTTTAAATTTACTATTCTGAAATAAACTCTTTTGCTATTAAAATGTGTTCGAAAGAAAATCTCGAGTTTTCGTTTCTTGTGGTGACACGATCTCGATATCTGTGACATATCGTATCTCTTGTGATATATTATCTTATCTCGATCTATCTCAACAAGTTCTTTTTTGCAATATCATTGGATAAAACATTTAGATATAATATTGTCTAGTCATTACATATAAGACGTGATCATCAACATTTTGAAATATAAAAACTAAAATAGTAATGCGGTATTAGTAATTATAAATAAATATTAAATACATTTGATTATTTTATACTTTAAAAACTGATCAAGTTCTAGTAAAAATTTTGCTTTTTATTCGTCGCGCCATTAAACAGTATCGATGAGATGGTACTAAAGGGACAATAGAAATTTTGAAATATACTCGTAACATTTATTCTCCAATTTATTAACATCTTGTACGTGTGTGTGTATGTATGTGTGTGTGTGTATATACCTGTTTGTGTGGATGTAATCACGTGTATTTGTAAGCGTGTATGTCACTATTTCCATCGCCTTTGCTGTTTTTTTTTTTTTTCTTTAACACTTCGGATAACATTTTAACTTATTATATTACCCTGCCCGATAAACGCTCTATTCGATATCGATCGATCGATCACGCGCTGATCGGCAGTCGGATGGATTTTTGATCGATCTCGGGTAAAAAAAGAGCCATCGACGTCGAACAGAACGTTCGGCATTTCGGGTTTTGTTCCGGCGACCGACAAAACGGGGCTCGTGTTAACGCATTTTATTTGTCGAACATAAATTCAACATCGTGTTTATTCTATCTGTTTTTCTAATTGATTTTTGCAACTGGCTTGATCGAGTGACGTTCGATCCAATAATAATATCGGATAACATCCCAACGAAAAAATAAAAGAAGTCAAAGTTCTCCAACGAACTACTAACATATTTGCAGTAGAAAGTTTGACAGGAACTGAGTTAAAAATATCTCTCACAATAGATAAAAATAAAAAAAAAAAAATTTGATTTAAATAAATTATGTCGACATTTGAATAGAATTTCATTAGCCATATATAATTCTCCAATTTCTAGTTTTAGTTGTAAAACATCGGTAATTTTCACGGGATGCGCATCATAATTTTTTATGATACCTGGCAATAAAATATATATACATACATACATTCTTCTATAAATTCTACAAGTTACCGTGTGTTGTGTGGCAGTTAACACATTACGCGTCGATTGCTTTATCAACGCACTTCTCTTGCGTTAAATTTTCTTTTAGTTAGCTCTCTCTCTATCACTTTTCTATTAATATACATATACACACATATATACATATGTATATGTTTCTATTACATCCTTAAAAAATACTTTTTTGGGAAAATATATCTCGTAAATATCTTACAGTTGTATCTCTTATCGGAATAATTGTTAAATGTTTTTGAGTGAAAGTGAGAGAGTTATATTTTTAATTTTAGAATATTTGGTTGTTAAGAGATTAATATATATATTTTATATTTATTGAGATAATCGTGTATGTTAGACACAATACGTTTAAACATTCTTTTTATAAAAATAGGCCCCCTATATCATAGTACATAGATGCAAACACATAAATGCAAGCACGCATAAAGATGCAAGCACAGTAATATTGCAATTTAATTCTCTCGAAATAGAAAAATTAAATCTTATTATTATATATAATAAATTATTCTTAATCTTTTTTTGGTATTATTACTTTGACAGTAGTTTTAAATTAAAAAATTGTACATAGTATTTTCCAAATTGTAATATAACATTTAAAACGTTATTACATTTTTTGTTTTAATCTTTTTCGATCTATTGTGTAATAAAACAATAATTGAATTAAATATATCTGTCATATAATTAAATATTTAATATTATGATATTTTGTCATATAATTAAAAAAAACTTCGTGCTTTTAAAAATTATGAAAAATTATTATAAATATTATTTAAAATTAAATATATCTCGAGATCGAAACATAATATAGCGAAATATAATACACATTTATGTCTATTTTCGACGTCGTCACTCGTGCCAAATTGTACCAAATACACTATCAGCCCGTCGTGTTGGTCGACGGAATATATCTCTGTACCGTTTTTGAGGCCGTTGCTGTACGCTGGTTTTCGTTATCATTTGTCTCGCGTTTTCTCGCACCCCCGCCAAGCCCACGTCACGTCTTCTCGCAATTAATACGGTTCGCAATGGAACTATTTACAAAACGGAACACTTAACGACTGCGCCTGCGTTTAGTTTATCGCGAGCTAAATTTCCGAGTCGTCGGTTTTTGTTCCTTCTCTTTGTTCTACGATAACGCAATTAATGGGCTTATGTATCACGCGCATCCTCTCATTACTAGCCGACACGTTCGCACGGATTCTCACATCACCGAATTTCAGAATTGCGGTTTCTGAGGGACCCTTCTTGAGAGTTTTAGATTAGTGATCTAACTGAAATTTCGCTTCTCGAAAACGGAGTGCACGTCTCGAAGCCGCACGTTTGCATTTCGCTAATCGTAAAGCTAACAATATTCAAAAGCGACGAATGTCGCTACGTTTCCACGTTTTCTCATAATTAATATAATATAATTTTCTCGGATCTAATAAGCAAATTTAATAGAATTGATAGATCGAATATAATCTTTAACATTATTATTACAATTACGTTTTTCAGATTCACACAATTAGTGATTTCGTGTTTAACTTAAAGAAAAATTTAAGTGATATTTTTGTATTCTTCGTGTTTTTCGAAACATTCCACAATACAATATTATGTAGCATATAATGTCATGTAAGAAATATTAAATTATTTTGCTTAATAATATATTTAAATTTTTTTCATTCCTCCTTTTCATCATTTTAAATTTACTGCTAATTTTTTGACCTAAATTAGCGTTACAAACATGCGTCTTGTGCACCAATGTGAGAGTAGTGAGAGCTTAAACGTAATCAGATACGAGTCGCAAAGATAGAGTTTTGTTTTTAATAATGGATAGAGCATATTTTTTGGAAGGAATGAAATAAAAAACTTGAGTCAGGGCTGTTATGTGTTTCGCTAAAGAATTACAAAAGAAGACGTATCTGACCAAGTTTAAACATAATCACCTGAAGAAATCTAAAAAGAAAATGAATTTTCGTGTATATTATATAAAATATAGACGGTAGAACAGAGAGGATATAATATAGTTTTTACACAAAAGTTGAAAGAATTGCCAAAGCTTTAATTTATATTATCCGTATTTATATATACAAGGTGATTCATCTTTTATGCATATCATCTTTTATACATATTAATTTTTTCCATAATTGCTTTAGACGGAAATGAATAGTAAAAAAACTGTTTTGCATTTTAAAAGAACACTATATCGTGATAATTCTATATATCTATGTATAATGATTCACCTGGTATATATTCGGTTTTAACATTCCTAAATTCTCACATTATTTAGAATCAATCCAAACGCTTTTTATAAATTTATAGAAAAAAACGCTGATAAAATATATATATAAAATTGACATCAATTCAACTCATTAAGCTCATTAAGAGTGATTTTTAAAATATAACTGAAAGCGAGTAAAGATAATAATTAAAGAAAACTTTTTGCTAACTCGTATAAATCTTTACTTTGGCACAATACATATAATAAGTGGATCCAACGAAAGAAATATCAAGAATCAATGAAGAAGAGTGACTGATATCAGTTGATTGATATCACGCGACGAGATCGCAACAATAATATAATTTCTATAACAATATAATTTCTTATCAAATAATGTTGTCCGAATTAATCACTCGAAACTTGAACAATATTTTTAATGCTTTGAAGAGATAATTCTAATTATTACTTTTAATGATGAACGCTCTTGTCAATATCAATCAACGGGAAGAGAATGCGATATTCTGAAATGAGGAATCCGAGTTGAGAGAAGATTGTACAGTCGTGTGTATAGAAATGCTTAGTGAGTCTAGGCGCGAGTTGTAGTAACGGCTCCTTACTCTTAAAGTATCTAATGTCGAAGAGTAGAAAAATTATATAAAAGTACGAAGGTCTATAATCTTTAATATGAGAGAGGTTCCGTGCGACCGCACCATTGCGGTTCTTAGTTTGTTTCTCTATCTAACTTTAGAAAATATTCAGTACACGTGATGTAAAATACTGTTTTTGAACAAAGCACTATTCTTGAGCCAAAAGAATCGATCAAGACGTAGCTATTTCGCGAATAGCGAAGTGGCTGAGAGACGATTCTCGTTTCATTATAGATAAGTTTAAAAAGCTTCAAGCAAAGAGAATCTCGTTAGAATTTAAATGCAACGAAAGATTTAACGACATTTCTTGCATTATCACGATACATCTTTCGTCTATTGACACGTGATGTAAAATACTGTTTTTGAACAAAGCACTATTCTTGAGCCAAAAGAATCGATCAAAAGAATAGCGAAGTGGCTGAGAGACGATTCTCGTTTCATTATAGATAAGTTTAAAAAGCTTCAAGCAAAGAGAATCTCGTTAGAATTTAAATGCAACGAAAGATTTAACGACATTTCTTGCATTATCACGATACATCTTTCGTCTATTGTAATGCGCTTTTATCCGTCACTGTTTTCTATTCTCCCCTTTCGTTTTTTCTGTTTCGTAAAACTATTTCAAATGTCTCAGCAATAGAGATGAAATCGAATCGAAAGAAAACACACGTGAACTTTTAGAACGATCAGATTCCTGGCAACGTCGCGCGGAAACACTCCTGAGAAGGAGTCAATATACGAGGGAAGAGAGATGTGAAGGGAAAGA